AAAAGTTGTTCTAACCGCAAGCTTTCACCTTATGGATCATCAGCGCACATGGAACCAGAGATAGCATTTTCTGGAATACTAAGCAATCACTCTGAAGAAAATCCCGGTTTTCTCCTCAAACTTAATGCTACATTGTTTAAAGCTGATTCATCGGCCTTTTTTTAGCCGTCTTAACCATTATCATGTAAGGGACTGCAGAGTTTTTCAACTGGAATAGAGTAGAGCTCCGGTATTGTGACGGTGCTTCATTTTCTGGGGACGGCGAAAATCAGGTTGGTGGGATGATCTTTCCGTTTACAGTTTCCCACAAAATTATGATAGTGACTATAGTAGTGCAGCTATTGGAACAAAAAATTAACTTCCTTGTATCGGAAGGTACCTTGTGTATTTCTGTTCCTAAGTGCAAATGAGAAGCTAAAATATAGTGATTCTGGTTTTAGGCAGCAAAACTGAAATTTAGAGGACAGCGTATATGGTTAGCTGCAATGGACGATTTGATGTCAAAGGGAATGCGCGACGCGAATCATGTACTACATTTCTTTATGCCAAAGAAATTTTTGTGTTTCCGTGTTAAGCCACTTCTCAAAGCATATTAATCCATCATACCTTAGGCTCTTCTTTCTGGTTGCTCTGCCGGCGGTCTGTCATCAATTTTGCACTGTGATGAATTTCGGGGCTTGTTTCCCACAACTACAAAAGTGAAGTGCCTGAGTGATGCTGGATTTTTTCTTGACGCGTGAGTACTATATCCGTAATGTCTTTTCTCTTTGTCAATGTTCCTTGCTAGTAATTAACACTTAAAATTTTATTGGTGATATCCTGTATGGAATTGTAGGGTTGATATTTCTGGTGAACGCACAATGAGGGATTTTTATAGTGGTGTAGTAAGCTTGCAGGGGGTGCAAGAAAATCTGCCGCGATTCTGTACTAGTCACCTCGATCCTACTTCGGTAAACAACTTTTTTTTTACCTCTTGCAGTTTTGGATTTGAAGATAGGTGGTAACTTTAAGTAAGTTTTACACTGTTTCTTACTTTGCAGTGCTTCTTCCCCGAGAACTTAATTGTGAACATTACAACCCCGCTATTTATACTCAATTCTGCATATGATTCATGGCAGGTAATTGTTCATTGTAAATTTGAATATGGTGTTAATTATTTGAGAATTACTGGACGGACTCTTACTGAAAGAATGCACTGAATTGTACTTTCCCACTTGAAATCAGATCAATAACAGTTTAGCTCCACCATCAGCAGATCCGCACGGTGAGTGGAAGAGTTGCAGATATAACCTTGCAAGTTGTTCCGCATCACAGATGCAAATTCTTCAAGGTGAAATCCCACATACGATGAACTTTTTCAACTCATAAAACTTGCAACAGCTTGAGAAACGAACTAAACATGTGACTTCTGTGACATTATTTTTCTGTTATATATGGAACAGGATTCAGGAATCAAATGCTGAATGCAGTAAAACAATTCTCAATGCCTAATCAAAATGGGATGTTCATAAATTCGTGTTTGGTGCACTGTCAAACGGAGAAAAGTGCATGGTATGCTAATGAATCTCCAGCTCTTGGAAACAAGGTGAGCCTGTTTAACTACTAACACACACAAATAGAAACAGAAACACATGCATTATATGTAGAGAGAGTTTAAAGATATCTTAAACTTACCATATGTGACGGATTATTGCAGACAATTGCAGAAGCTGTTGGAGATTGGTATTTTGATAGATCAGAGGTTAAGGTTGTTGATGAAACTTGCCGCCATCTGGCCCTCGAATGAGAATTGTTTGACCGATTATTTACATGGTCATTGTATTGAGTTGTCTGCTTAATGAAATAACTTTGTAATAATTGAAATCAATAGAATTCTACTACCAAGTTCAAGAACCAAAAACAAATGAATGAATTGGATAAAAGTCGGTAAAAGCGCTGGCAGATAATTGAACAATATTCTCATTCTTCCATTGTGACAATGGTGAGTAGTGCAGCGATACCAGATTCCTTGTCTGGGCCATGTATTAGTTCCTTGCCTCCAACACAGTCAATCTCCCATCATGGTCTGGACACGATTCCCCCTACTCCGCCGGACACAAGTTCAAACGGTTTATGTGGATGTATGATGATATTTATTGTTGGATGCGTAAATTGTAGACGATATAAACATACTTTAAATAGCTAGTTACAAGTAACTTTTGGGTCTCAGCAATATTAGAGAGTGTATCAACAAATGTGTCAGTTTTGAAGGTCAAAATAGTATCGCCCTAAAAATCACAGATTAAAACATTCTTCCCTTTTCAGTTTTAATCTTAATTCCATCCGTTGACAAAGTAGGCAATTGGCGTCTTCCCTGAACAACCATGTTTTTAGAGACTTCTCTGAGTATGTATGTATGTATGTATATATATGTATGTGTGTATTATATAAAAATCTTTTCTACTTTGGTAATTGATTAACTAATTAATTAATTGCTATTTGCTTCAGCTGCTTCTCTATTCTGATTAAATTATGCTCCACAGTTCGAAACCAGACAAAGAGAGTTGATAACTTGTGTATTACGTTAATCATCCTACTCCCATGTTACCCTTCCTAATTTGGAACATATCTTAATATGGTGTTTGTGTGATTTCCTCTCTCTTTCTCTCTCTCTCTCAGTTCACATTTTGGAAAGAGTTGAAATTAACAATCTTCAATGATTGTGGCAATATATGAGACTTTCTCGAATTATTTGGAATGACTTCTGTGTAAGATTCCTCACCATTGACCCTTTGATTGTCTGCAGGGATGAATAAAGATAATGGCCATTTGCAATTGAATAGCTTTTTCTTGATTTATAGCAGAATGAATAAAGATAATGGCCATTTGCAATTGAATAGCTTTTCCTTGATTTATACCCATGTGCTTCGTTTGAGTTTCGTTTTTATATCTACATCTTCGAAGACTTGGCTGGCGGAGAGATTGAAGGGAGAGGAGAGCCATGGTGAAGTTCTTGTGGATTGGCATTGTAACAGCACTTGTGTTCAGAACTTGGGTTGATGGGTTTGTGGAAGAGAAGAATCTTGATGAGACGGTGCCATCTTTGTCGGAGACCAATGGAAGCTCCCAGGCTTTTAATGACACACTACTCATGGTAGAGCTAACACTCGTCAAAGAAGCTGCAGCTAAAGGAGCAGGTATGCCATACAATGATGTATGCTCTAAAAGTTTTGCAGTTCTTAATTAATCCTTATTCCTTTTAATTTACCTACTCTGCAGTCTGCTTGGATGGAACAGCACCTGCTTATCATTTACATCATGGATATGGATCGGGAGCGAACAGTTGGCTCATTCACCTTCAGGTTTGTGAGATAGATCAGAAAAAATGACATCTTTTATACGTTTCTATGTCGATATTGGGATTATTATATCATAAAGATAGTTTGAGAAAAATGGCAAGTTCATGTTTCCTTCTACTCATTTTCTTTTGGACTTCATGATTCCTTTTAGTTGATTGATCACCAAGCAGCCCTCTGAAGTCCTTGTTGATGCAGGGAGGAGCATGGTGTAACGACACCAAAAGTTGTTCTAACCGCACAACTTCACTTTTCGGATTGGGATCATCAGCGTACATGGAACCATATATGGCATTTTCTGGAATACTAAGCAATCAATCTGAGGAAAATCCCGGTTTCTCCTCAAACTTAATGCTACATTGTTTAAGGCTGATGCCTGAATCTGCCTTTTTTTCCTTTAGTTTAGCCATCTTAACCATTATCTTGTAAGGGACTGCAGAGTTTTTCAACTGGAATAGAGTAGAGCTCCGCTATTGTGACGGTGCTTCATTTTCTGGGGACAGCGAACGTCAGGTTGGTGGATGATCTTGCCATTCACATTTTTCCACAAAATTATGATAGGGGCTGTAGTAGTGCTGCAGCTATTGGAAAGAAAATTGACTTCCTTTAAACGGAATGTACTTTGTGTATTTCTGTTCATAAGTGCAAATGAGAAGCTAAAATATAGCGATTCTGCTTTTAGGAAGCAAAACTGCAATTTAGAGGACAGCGTATATGGTTATCTGCAATGGACGATTTGATGTCAAAGGGAATGCGTGACGCGAAAAATGTACTACATTTCTTCATTCTAAAGAATTATTTGTGTTGCCATGTTAAGCCACTTCTCAATGCATATTAATCCATCATCCATTAGGCTCTTCTTTGTGGTTGCTCTGCCGGCGGTCTGTCAGCAATTTTGCACTGTGATGAGTTTCGGGGCTTGTTTCCCACAAGTACAAAAGTGAAGTGCCTGAGTGATGCTGGATTTTTTCTTGACGCGTGAGTACTATATCTGTAATGTCTTTTCTCTTTGTGAATGTTCCTTGCTAGTAATTAACACTTCAAATTTTATTGGTGATATCCCGTATGGAATCGTAGGGTTGATATTTCCGGTGAACGCACACTGAGGGATTATTATAGTGGTGTTGTAAGCTTGCAGGGGGTGCAAGAAAATCTGCCGCGATTCTGTACTAGTCACCTCGATCCTACTTCGGTAAACAAGTTGTTTTCCTCTTGGCAGTTTTGGTTTGAAAATAGGTGGTAACATAAAATAAGTTGTACACTACTTACTTTGCAGTGCTTCTTCCCGGAGAACTTAATTGTGAACATTACAACCCCGCTATTTATACTCAATTCAGCATACGATTCGTGGCAGGTAATTGTTCATTTTGAATTAGAGTATGGTCTTCAATTATTTGAGAATTACTGGACGGACTTTTACTGAAAGAATGCATTGAATTGTACTTTCCCACTTGAAATCAGATCAATAACAGTTTAGTTCCACCATCAGCAGATCCGTGTGGCGAGTGGGAGAGTTGCAGATATAACCTTGCAAGTTGTTCTGCATCACAGATGCAAATTCTGCAAGGTGAAATCCCACATACAAGGATTTGTTTTTTTTCAACTCTTAAAACTTGTAACAGCTTGAGAAACAAACTAAACATGTAACTTCTGTGACGTTAACTTTCGGGTATATATGTAACAGGATTCAGGAATCAAATGCTGAATGCAGTAAAACAATTCTCAATGCCTAATCAAAATGGGATGTTCATAAATTCGTGTTTGGTGCACTGTCAAACGAAGGAAAGTGCATTGTTTGCTCATGAATTTCCAGCTCTTGGAAACAAGGTGAGCCTGTTTAACTACTAACACACGCAAACACAAACACATGCATTATATGCAGAGAGAGTTTGAAGATATCTAAAACTTTGTATGTGACGGATTACTGCAGACAATTGGAGAAGCTCTTGGAGATTGGTATTTTGATAGATCAGAGGTTAAGGTTGTCGATGAAACTTGCTGCGATCTGGCTCTTGAATGATCATTGTTTGATCAAATTATTTACACGGTCATTGTATTGAGTTGTCTGCACTATAATACTACCCCTTCTGCTTAATGAAATAATTTTGTAATAATTGAAATCAATAAAATTCTACCATCAAGGTTCAAAGACCAAAAAACAAATGAATGAATTGGATAAAAGACGGTAAAAGCGCCGGCAGATGATTGAACAATATTCTCATTCTTCCATGGTGACAACGGTCAGTAGTGCGGTGATACCGGATTCCTTGTCTGGAAGATGTATGAGTTCCTTGACTCCAGCACAGTCAATCTCCCATCGTGGTCTGGACACAATTTCCCCCACTCTGCCGGATACAATTCAAACGGTTTACGTGGAAGTATGATGATATTTATTGTTGGATGCGCATACATGGCCTTTCTCATCTAGTTCTATGTACACGTTTCAGGGTTGATTTGTATTTTGACATTCATAATTTATATATGTATAGAGAAAATGGGGCCAATTCTTAAGCAGAATCCGTTCATCTGTAGCTGGAGCAGGACTTTTGCAACATTAAGAAGAGACGTACCACAGTAAAGTAGGCACAATCAAATCTCCATTATCCCAGTAAAGTGTGGAGAAAATCAGGCCTCTTCCTATACAAGCGGGATCCATGTCGATAACATATCCGCAACTATTGTATTAGTATGTATACCGTTGACAATATGTTCTCCATGTAGATACCAATGCAGCTACGATTGAGTGGGATCCCTCTATAGAGAAAAGTATCAATCAAAACTTTTGTGCTTATCAAAATTACTGTGTTTGTTACATACATGACTTGGGAAACACTTTATTGACTATGTTGTGTAAACTTGCTGGCCAAGATATAAGAGGGCATTTTTTTGGCTTAAATCTAAGAAGTACGTTGAAGTATTAATCACTTCTTCTAATAGTTTTGGCTTACCATGGAGGAGTGGAAAGGCCATAAATTGATCATTTCGAAAATTCAAAGCTTTTGTTAGATTTAAGTAATCAATCCATGCAGCTATTTTATCTTATTTTCCCCATTTCTGGAGAAATTTTTAGTTGTGATAGGAACACAAGTGGTACACCACGTGTTTTAATAGGAGTGGTGGAAAATTTTATTTTTTAAGTTATTAACTTTTTAACACACATATTCCACCATTTATATAGTAATACGTGATGTACTACCCCGTGTACCGGTCACATTGAAAAATCTCACTAATATCCCATTTCTGAGCAGCTTTAGTTAATTTACCCTACAACAATTCATTTCCTCTTTTAAAGTTAGGCTGGATTAACAATTTAAAAACTCTCACTAATATCCCATGCCAAACTCATCTATTATCTATATGTCTTAGAGAACTTCTGTACTGAAGGGTGTTGAGTAAGGTGTTAGTTGCAGGGTGTATAAAGAGCCACTCGATTGTGGAGAAAATGATTAGAGACTAAAGTTCAATGGTTGAATATATTAAAATTGAATAACGACGACTTAAATATTGACAACAGAGCGATCAAATATCAATGACATACTGGAAAATCATTTTAGCAATTGAGATTTGAAAAGGATGGTGTTATCCACACATCCATTTTCACCATCCACATACCCATTTTCATATCTTACACACACTTTGTTAATTTATGTCATTTGATTTTTTTTAATTTATTTGACCCTATGGTCGGAAATTGAGAGAGACATGTAGAAGATAAAATTTGGTGTGTGATAGCACCGCCGTTTGAAAAACATTTTGTTCAATTTTGAGTTGATAGATGAATTTGATGGCTACTAAACAACCCATGCACCAAACCTCCTCACTTAAACTATCGGGATCTGACAGCTCTTGTTCAAATATGTAACTTAAATGTGCATTTATATGTGTACTGGTGAAAAGTCACAATATATATTGTATATACCTATGTACAACTTATGTAGGCTTTTGCCAAATCTTTTTCAAAATGCTAAGGCCCAGTGATATCAAACCCATTTAGCCCAATATGCATGAAAAGTAGTTGCTTGATTAACAGTGTTCATTAAAAAATGGTTAATGATACTACGTGCTCATATAATCTGGGCCATCTAACAGGTTGATCTGTGGCTTTCAACATTTGGTTTTCGAATGTAACACACTCAGTTGGCTTATGCTTTTTGCTTATATAGAAGAAATGTTGATTAACACATACAATTGGACAATAAATAAGAACATTTTTCTTTTGACGGCGAGAGAGAACAGTGTACCAATTTGTAAACTTCAGGGTAAATTTTCAAATTTTGAAATCATATAGACCACATTGTTACGCACCCTGAAAATAGCAATAAAACTAAAATGTTGGTAAGGGACTCCAAAAAATGGCATTATACACCCCACTAAAGTGTATTTTTCCTATATTTCTATATGTTTGGAGTGTGCAGAATAACTTTTTTGGGAATGCCTATAACAACTCCCTCAAACTATTCGAAAACATAAAACTAACACACTTTGCTGACACAGATGAGTCTTACTATTGTATGTGGATCTCACCGATATTAGAGAGTGTATAACTGATGCAGCACGAGCGTAGGAGGATTACAAGCGTAATTCCTTGAAGAACAAACTTATGGAATCCAACAGTTCAGAGAGAAAAATCTCAAAAGTATTTTTGATTAATTGTTGAATTGATGAGGTTACATAAACAACCAAATGGCTTATAAGCAAGGAAGAAAATATCGATAATATCGGAAATATCGGTAGTCCGAAAACACGGAAATATCGATGGAAATATCGGGATAATATCGATATCGATAAAAATTACATGGAAACCACGGAAATTGTAAGAAAAACTTGGAAATTTTTATTGAAACTTTGCAGGATGTTTATTTAGTCAATTATCTATTAGTTTATCACAAAAAATTGGAAGGAAATGCATTGCATGATGAATTTAACATTATCAAGTTGATTATATAGCGAGCTGACAAACATTGTGAGTGTAGAAAATATGTAGTAATTAATGAAAGAAGTCTAAACACACCATAATCATTTATATATAATGAATTAGTACAATATTTTACACTTTATACATTGCATTTTTGGTTCTTCTCTGACAGAATTTGGTCTTCACGTTGAGAAGAAGATAAAGTAAGCAGATTTTTTGGTTCTTCTCTGACAGAATATTTGGTTCTTCTAAGCAAAGTCACTTCCAAATCTTTCATACAAAACCGTGTGCCACACACACACACCCTCAAAGTTTTTTTCTTTTTCTCTCGGATAACACACACACACACATAACCATACACACCCACACACACACACGCACACGCACACGCACACACAATCTCTCGATCCTGCTCCCTCATTCTACACACACACGCACACACACCCTCCCTCTCCTTGTTTCTTCTCCAGTTCTCCCCCCCATCTCTTTTCTGCATCTCTCCTTCCCAGAGGAGACATACACACACACACCCCCACTTCCCCGTGTTTCCCCCTTCCCCAATCCCTCGAACCTTCTCCCTCATTCCTCTCTTTGTTTCTTCTCCCCCCATTTATGCAACTCTCCTTCCCGGAGCACAGCCACACCACACCCACACGAGGCGGAGGATCCATCAAACCCGAGCGGGTTTTGGGATCCGGAGAGAAGGGATTGCGGATTTTGATGGGTCTGAGCGCGGATTGCAGAGAGAGGCGCAAATCTTGGCAGCTGCGACGACGAAGCCTCAGCTGCAGTTTTTCGACGACGGAGCCTCGGCGATTTTGTCGATAATATCGAAAATATAGCGATATTATTGATAATATCGTGATATTATCACGAAAACCATTTGGATAGTTATAAAAATATCGGTTCCCTTAAAAACAGATAATATCGGCGATATATCGCTGATATTATCGACATTTTGTTCCTTGCTTATAAGGACACTAATTTAGCTCTGGGGAAACTCAGAGGCCTTAGAAAATTCAAAATACCATTTAATTTGGACGAAAGTCGAAATGTTTGATGTTTATTACAGAATTTCAAATGCTTTTTTGAAAGCCTAAACGGTCTCGGATGGCTAAAATTCATCATATGTCACGACAATCAATGAGTTGGAACCGCATCGTCGTTCCCTTTCCGAAAAGGTATCAAGGCCCAAATTGAAGCTTGCGTGTCAAATTTGCAAATTCCCGTTGCATCCTTTAGTCTTCTATCGGTCCAATTCCTTTTCTATCCACTCGGCCAGTTGTTCTACATAATGTGTCAGTTTTAAAGGGACAAGTAGTATCGCCCTAAAAACCAACTTGCACGTAGGATGTATGTGGTATAATGGATGGCATAATATGTTATGAGAGTTGTTGGAAAACACAGATTAAAACATTCTTCCCTTTTCACCATATCATAAATAGGCCTGACATTTTGGACCCAACCCGTTAACTTGACCCAACCCAACCCGTTAATATTTGTATTTGGGTGGATGCTTAACGGGTCAGGTTGCTAACAGATGAACCCGTTAACAACCCGTTAAATAACGGGTCACTTTGGGTCAACTTATTAGCACCCGTTAGTTGAGGATATTTTAGTAATTTTAGTAAAGTCTTAATAACAAAAAATATACTTTATGCAAAAATAATAATAATAATAATTGTTAACGGGTGAAACGGATGACCCGTTGGCTTAATGGGTCGAGTTCAAATGACCCGTTAGCTTAATGGGTTGGGTTCGGATGACCCGTTAACTTAACGGGTCGGGTTCAACCCGACCCAAACCCAAACTCAATAAACCCGACCCGTTTACATGTCTAATCATAAATGAAGGGCACACAAAATTTACTGCATTTTGCGGCGCTGTGCAAAAGGTATCCACTCCTGTGAACTAAACTATCACGATATGATAATTTTAATCTTAATTCCATCCGTTGACAAAGTAGCTAGGGATCAATTGTCGCCGTCCCTGGACAATCATGTTTTCAGAGACTTCTCTTTGTATGTATCTTTTGATTCTCCTCTATCTCTAAATCTTTATATATATAAACCTTTTCTACTATGTTAATTAATTAATTAATCGCTATTTGCTTTAGCTGCTTCTCTGTTCTGATTAAATTATGCTCCAAAGTTCGAAACCAGACAAAGAGAGTTGATGTTAATTTGTGTATTATGTTGCATTAGTGATCCTACCCCCATGTTACTCTTCATAATTTGCAACATACTTTAATATTTTCTGGAGAAAGGTCTTGTGTTTGTGTGCAGGAATCTAATTTCCTCCCTGTCTCTCTCTCTCTCTCTCTCAGTTCACATTTTGGGGAGGGTTGAAATTAACAATCTTCAATGATTGTGGCTAGATATTAGACTTTCTCTCGAATTATTTGGAATGATTTATGTGTAAGATTCCTCATCATTAACCCTTTGATTGTCTGCAGGGATGAATCATGATAATTTATGATTAATTGTGTTGTTCTCCGGGGCCAATTTTTTCGGTGTTTTCTTCTGCTTCAACTCAACATTAAATTATCTATACATTCTACTAAAACGGTGGTGTTATATACAATAGTTAGCTTTAATTTAAAATCAAAATAATATTAAGTAAACTAAAGAAACTCTCCACGATGGGTTTAGGGTTTAAGAAAAAAAGCATATCGACAATTTGCCAGTTGTTACGGACTATATTTTAGAAGTTGATGGCAAAGTAGTTTTAGTGTGTGTGTGCGCGCGCTGGATGTCTATAGCAATCATGTGAGGTAATATATGTTGCACTTGCTATGGAGATTTCAGGTACCATATTTGTGAGAGAAACATACATGTCACGGTTTATATCATTTTCTCTTTCTCCTCACT